CCCCCAACAAAACAAAAACGAAAACCAGTTGTAATGTACATGGAAAATTGTGCACAGCAGATTTTTTTTTTTTATATAAAAAGTAGATTCAGGAGCACATCCAATTATAAATGATTGTTAGGAAAATCATATAAAACAATGGAATACATAAAAGTGTCAAGAGTAATCGTCAGGGTGCGAAATTCCTTGGGGGCCAGATGCCCATGGCAAGCAGAAATTATCCTGGCAGCATCACTAAGAGGTCGATGTCCACAGAAGATTCTCCAGGGGTGCAAGCGGCATGGGCAGGTGGAGGATGTGAATTTCATACCCTGATTCATAGTTTTCACAACTCCATGTGCAATTTCAGAAAGATTCATCATTTACTGCTGACATGTCGCCCTTTGGCGTGGAGGAACGGGAGGAACCCTTGTCTGTGCTCTCCGACCCCGAGCTGCTCTGGTTCTGCTGTTCTGACCCTGCACTGGAGGTCACTGTGGATGAGGAGGTCGAGGAGGAGCGAGTCTTTTCCTTAAAGTCTGTGATAATGACGGTGACGTTGCCCACAGTTACTGCCAACTGCTGTGCGGTGCTCCTGTCCACGTTTTTCAGCCGGGGCCTGAAAGCAACACCACAGGGGAAGAACCCATGAAATCGGCTACGGATGCAAAGGACTTCTGGCCCAACATCACCCCGCCACACACACAGACTGCATGTCCCTGTGGCAATGAATCTAAAACGCCAGCACGGATACCAGCGCTTACCACCAAACCTGCTGACTAAGCGCAGCAAGAAACGAAACCGCCATCAGTTAGCAAAGCTTCGGACCACTGCAAAGTTACGATCAATTTATCTTTCTCCTGTTTTGGACTCAGTGATATAAAAGCAGCTCATATCTATGTGCATGTACTTTGAAAGTTAACAGTCCCACCCGGCCCAGCTCTTCACCCCACCCCTTCTTAGCCTACCAACCCACGGGCACAAAACCACCCCTGACTCTTGATTATGAGCAGGTGAATCAGGGCAGCGACGTGGTATTTCACTCTAGTTTCAAATACCTTGAGGTGTGATTCGTTTCACTGGTCTTTGTTGTAGCATTTGCAGACTGTATACTGTTCGCTTCGCTAGGAGGATCTTTCAGAATATCGGACTTTGGTCTAAATGGGGAGACAGAAAAAGAGGCGTTTAAAAGACATCTCTGATTCACCTGCGAAATAACAGAGTACTGTACTGAGTTACCCAAGAACTTACTTCGTTTTTTTGTTGGCGTTCTTCTTGGTAACACCAGGGCTGATTTCTTTGTCTTTCTCGGGTTTCTCTTTGTCTTGCTTCTCGACCTTCTCCTTCTTCTCCTTTTTAGGGGGTGGGGGAGTGGCGTACTGTTGGGCCACCTGCTGGGCCACCAGCTGAGAGTTGATCCGCGGTTTTCTAAAACATTCAAGAAAAGATGTCTCATTATTTGCTTTTTAACTGTTTCTTTAATTTTAAAATTTTGGTCTCATAATTTTTAGGTATTTTATTACTGGTCTCCGGCAACTCAGAGTAAATTATATGGTGTTTATTATTTCCAGATAGTATGGTTAAGTCCATAAAACTTTTCCTCTTTCAAATCCACCTTCAATGACATAAACACGTGCGCTCACACAAACACACACATCCCCGTGCAGTCAAGACTTTCAGCCAATAAAACACGACGCCGCTTCTAAGAGTGCCGAGAACACCACTTCTTTTGAGCTGTCAAGATTATACTGACTGACAGCTTTCAAGTACTTCTGCTGCAGAGGGTTAATCTCATTTTATTAAATGGACACTGGTAATCCCTTGAAAAGAGAATGAAATTAGAAGTGTGACACTCACTCCTCAATCTAATTATTCCGACTTGGTCCGCTCCCCTAATGCTCTGTGACTGGCACAGACAACACGTATCGAGCAATAAAAGGTAACTGTGGTTCATATGAGCTTCCAAGGGGGTGAAGACAAAGTCACTATAAAAACATCTTCGACAAGTGATACATTCATTGTGCCATAAACCATCATGTCTGCACCCGTCTCCAACTGACACTGGCTCTTAGCACTATTGTTTACAAATTCTAAACGGTGCCACACGCTTCTCACAGTGCATGACCGTTCGGACCCAAATGGCAAAGGGAGAAAGGAAAACCTAGGCGCTATTTCTATACAATATTAATTTTCAAAGACGTTAGCATCTAGGTCGACATTTACAATATAATAAATTCTCCAAGTACAAGGTAGAAAACACATATCTAAGTGGGTTATTAATGAGGTGAAGCAACCACCTGCCATGATGTAATGATCCCCTTCAGACCCTACATCCCCCTCTGTTCCCAACGATGGAGGCACTGGCCAGAGAAAAATAACTGGACAGACAAGGTCTGCCTCATCAATGAGAGAGCCAGTGGTGGAAGAATGGAAATGGAAAAAAATCCAAAAAACAAAACAAAACAGAAGTTTCTTTCTTAAATAATTCTGCCGTTTTTTTTTTTTCAAGAAAACAAAAAGAGTTGCTAGGTACAGGACACGCTAGCTCCTAAATTAAGCACAGTTACTGAAGCACCTCTTGGGAGGAGGTGTGATGCGGCTAAGAAGAGATATAGGACAAAGAGGGGACAGACACCTACTCCTTGACTTCATCGAGGCCAGCCTGCTAGGGGAAGTCACTGGGTTTGTTCTGAGTGTCTCAGTGCTGGTTCCACAACAGTGTGGCTTTGCAGGAAACACACCAACAAAGGAGCAATCCCAGAGCAAGTTTCCTATCGGTCTCCAGCAAACACAGGCCTTGGTTACAGCGGCATACGATGAAGCCCACAACGGGTACGGTCACCTCAGGCTGGACCACGAGCAGCCTCACATGCCACTGAGCAAGGGATTCAAAGATGTGAAGTGCCCCGAGATAAAGGGAGGAAGGTACTTAATACTCTAAACCCCTGCCCCTCAAGTGAAAGGTGAAAGGTAACATTCTTTTTTCACAGGTTCTAACAAAGGCAGCAGCAGCCATTCTAACACATTCTACTCTTTCAAAGAGGAAGTGTATCTGTTAATACTTACAGAGAAGATAATCACCACTACAAACTATTTCACAAGTACTCACAGGGAACACAAACAGACCAGCTGTCTACAGGGACTACCAAGCAGTTTAAATCAGAGTTTAAACAAACTGTCATATACTAACCAATACTCAGGTGTCAAAATGAAATAACTCAGCCAAGTGAAAACTAACTAAATAAATAAAACTTTATGAAAAACTACACCTCGAGGGAGAATTTCAATTAAGCCAGGATGTGTACTTCACTGCATGGAAGTCTGACAAGAGAAGACAACTGGACATCAGTCCAAGACGACCTGCAACAGTGAGAAGAACCAACGGCACGTGGCACACCAGACGCTTGCCCCAGAGAAACCACCCCCGGCCCCATCACCAGGCCTACCCAGTCTGAGTTAGGGGGGCCTGTCTCACTCCAGGATGTCCTGCAGAGTTCTATGATGTCAGTCAGCACGCCGCACTGTAACTGTCAATCAAATGTACACTCCTGAATGGCATGACCGTGTCTTAATCAGCCTTCTCTGTGGCATTCAGCACAGTACCAGGTACCCAATAAAATTACCTACTGGATGAATAAAGAATAAACGAAAATTTCAGAGAAAGACAAAGTAGGATAAGAACTGACGAAAGGGCCCAAGCTTTGGTGATCAAGAAGTCAACTACCGACTTTCAGGAGAGCAAGCCACACGCTATCAGGGCTGCAAAGAGGAAGGGACTACAGGATGTCAGAGGAATAATCTAGAGGTGGCCAACAGGAACCCTTTTGAGAACTGTGGTGCTGAGGTAAAGGACAGCCCTGCCACTGCAGAGAGGGGTCAGCAGGGTTTGAGGATATTTCCTTGGGAACAGGAGGCTTAAATCATGTTGTACACTGAAGACGGAGAAAGACTGAAGGCAGGCAGAAGAGAGGGGTTAGCCATGGGGCAAAGGAGAGAAACCATACAATTGAGAAAAGCGCTGGGGGCTTCCCTGGTGGCACAGTGGTTGAGAGTCCACCTGCCGATGCAGGGGACGCGGGTTCGTGCCCCGGTCCGGGAAGATCCCACATGCCGCGGAGCGGCTGGGCCCGTGAGCCATGGCCACTGAGCCTGCGCGTCCGGTGCGTGTGCTCCGCAACGGGAGAGGCCACAACGGTGAGAGGCCCGCGTACCGCAAAAAAAAAAAAAAAAAAAAAAAAAAAAAAAAAAAAAAGAGAAAGCGCTGGGATTGGGATTGACATGTATACACTGATGTGTAAAAAACTGATGACTAATAAGAACCTGCTGTATTAAAAAAGTAAATAAAATAAAAATTAAAAAAAAAAAAGCAAAGCACTGGGAAAAGAACAGAGACTTTCTTCTGAGATGGGAGGGATGCTAGGTACTGGGGGATTATTGGCAGAATATGGGAATGAGAGATCAGTGGAGAGATCCTTAAACGATGGACATCAGAAGTGGTGCCTGGGGGAGCAGCTGGCACTACCAGCAGAACAGAGCTAGGGAAGAGCAGAGAGGAAAGGAAGTCACCCTCGTCTCACAAACAGCCCCTAATGGCAGGCACCTGATGCACCTGCAAGCAGCTCTCAACCACCCAGACGCCGTGCTGATCCAAGATGGATTATCCCCTCACAGGCGGCTCGCTGAGGCCATGGGCAAAGCGTGGGCAACAGGCCAGGTGCCTGTCTCGTACTCCTCCCGCGGACGAGCAGGGCAAGCAAAACCCTCAGAATTTTTCAGTGCATGCACCACAATCCAGCATCTGTAGGACAGTATGTATAAACACACACACACACACACACACACACACACACACACGGTAACATAAACTGCAACTCCTCCAATGCAGCACGTGTGCACAACCGTGTGGATGTCCTCACTTGTTCCTAAGAAAATGATGTCTGACTAGAATAGTGAAAGAAGTGTGCCTCCTCTCTAATGGGCAACCAAACTGAAACTTCACAAATGAAAAGGACCCAAGGCTCACTGGGATCAGATTATTACCAAGAAATACAGGATGTCTGCTAAAAGCACCTGTTTTGTTTCACAAGTACGTCTGTGTTCTCAATGTCCTCAAATAACAACCTAGTAATTCTTCCATCATCACTTGCTCCTTCCCCACAGAAAACCCTCACCAACAGGTGGGAATCTATTATTTTAATTATTAGAGTGGTTTTTTCAAACTAGTTCCCCCAACAAACCCCACAGTCCTTCTCGGATCAGGGAACGGGGTGAGGTGGGGAAATGCACCTAATTCATTTTGAAATGGTGCACTGCTGCTGAACACAATGCATACCTTTGGAGAAGGTGAAGAAATGAGCAGGGTCATCGGTGGGAGACCCCCCAAAGGTGCCACCCTGCCAGAACTGCTGTGGCAGCTCCTGGCCGTCCGTCCCCTACTTATTCCCAGTAGGGAGCACTCTGACGGCATGAGGATGGAAACGTGCCACCTCCACGGAGAGCCACGCACGCCGCACCCCAGCCGGCCGCGCTCTCCAGGTTAGATGCTGTGAACTGCCGTCGAGCAGCAGGCCAGGACCACCTCACAGCCAACATAGGACAGGCACACTACGGAGCCTGTCCAGAGTCAGCACAGCATACTCCAGAGCACAGCTGATTGTCTCTGTTTTACCAATTAAGGAGATTGAAAGCAGAAAGATCAAGAACCTTGTCTAAGGTTCACAGTAAGTGGCTAAACTGCGATTTTTTAACCCAGATCCACCTGAACTTTTCAAAGCCTCCTCTTTATTTATTTATTTATGGCTGCGTTGGGTCTTCGTTGCTGCACGCAGGCTTTCTCTAGTTGCGGCGAGCAAGGGCTACTCTGTTGCAGTGCGCGGGCTTCTCATTGCAGTGGTGTATCTTGTTGCGGAGCACGGGCTCTAGGCGCGCGGGCTTCAGTAGTTGCGGCACACAGGCTCAGGACTTGTGGCTCACGGGCTCTAGAGCGCAGGCTCAGTAGTTGTGGTGCACGGGCTTAGTTGCTCGGTGGTGTGTGGGATCTTCCCGGACCAGGGATCGAACCCGTGACCCCTGCCTGCACTGGCAGGTGAATTCTTAACAACTGCGCCACCAGGGAAGTTCCCAAAGACTCCTCTTATGAAAGTAACTTCAAATGAGTCTCCCCACTGTGTGTGTGTGTGTCGGGGGGCGGGGAGGGGGCACAGGGTACTAGGGATGGAAGACCCAGGTCAACTCAGGCTACGGTTTCAACAGATACCTGCCCAAGAATTCCAGCACTCTCGTTAGCCCCACCATCTTCACTGGGGTACGAAGAGGACTACTTGGTTGTCCTTAAAGGGAGATAAAAGGGCACGGGGAGAGGAGATGGCAAAGTATGTTTTCCAATGTCTTTTTAACATTTCCTGTAAGGAATGAACCCTTATCATGAT